AGACACAGACAGAGACAAATGTGGTGGTGGAGGGGAAGGCGATCGTGAAAAACAAATACTTGGTATATCTTACGCTTGGCCAGTTTAAAAACGCTTGCGGGCAAATAGCACTAAACGGCGACACGAGTTCACACTGTCCCCACGGCTACTAGTGAAACACAGAAGAAATCGATCTTGCTGCCGTTGGTTGAACAACGCCATGAACGATTCGCCAGACAGCTTCCCTGTCAGACACGAGCCAATTTTTCTCGTTCTGAATGTGTAACCGCTTTCGGTAGTTCGCTTGTACCCCGCGCTCGTTGGTTTGTAAAAGGCAATGGCGACAGCACCATCAATAGCTTGAAACACCGCGTGCGATCGCTATCGGGGGGTGTTTGACGGTTCAAGGGATTGACGACAGCGGAATATGACGGCAAGATAAGATTTCCACAATAATAGTGTGATTCATCTCCGCATGCATACCTCTGCCGGGTCGACGCTCTCCAGGAACGCTATCGCGTCCTCGTTGCAGCACAGCCGGTTCAACACGGACTTGCACCTGCTCCCCGCCAAAGCCCAAGAGGACAAGGAGACAAAACGAACGAAACGAACGAAACGAACGGATGAGGGAGTCGCAGCAGAAGGGGCCCCGCGACGAGGCGGGACGGACAGGGGGTGTGCTTGTGTGGTTTTCGCGTCGGGGGCGGAAAACACCACAAGAGGCTCTGGTTTCGGTTCACTATAACAGGGTCCCTTGCAGAACTGCGAATCCCTACTCCTTGTACCACAAACGTCTTGAGCAAGGTATACATAGCCAAGGATGTGGTGGGATCACGACAAACTTGAATAGTCAAGAAAGGGACTCCAACAAACACGGTCGGTATACATGGCGAAGCATACCTTACGAGGCGAAACACCGTCCTCCGAGCCAGAGCCCCGTCCAGCTGAAGGCATGCGCGCCACGCCTCTATCCCCGACGCGGCCTCGGCCAGCAACTGCACCAATCACGAATCATGGAGAAGAACAACGCATGCACAACATGGGTCACGGATCCAACATCCGTTGTATGAATATCATGGCATCGACAATGATTTTGTATCGTGGATCATATGGTCGACATGACTGGGGACGCCGCTGGTTAAAGGAACACGCAGGGCGGGATGGAGAATCTAAAGGGCATGGCGGAAAACAACCGACTGCTGTAGCATAATCAGAAAACACCAGCAGCAACACCACAGTACCACAGCGAACCAAATTGGATAACGAAAACAACGGCAACAAATCCCAGCGCAAATCACCGTCCCTCAGCAACACCAGCCAGCAGCAGAGGGCTTGAACACACGCCGACGGCATGTCCCAGACTGGGAAGGAGTAGCGAGTTGATGACCGCTCGTGACGCAAACCAAAGCAAACCACCCCCCCCCCTCCAAAAAAAAAGAAAGCCCGCACCTGTCCGCAGTGCTCCACTTGGAAAAGCGGGGATCGCTCTCCTTCAACCACCTCGGAATCGCACCGAACCACAAGCTTCTTCCCCGGATACTGCGACGGAACGTGAGCGGGAAATATCGTAAGCGCCAAGCAGGCAGTTAGCAGAGCCGGAAGAAAGAACCAAGAGCGAGCCAGATGGCAAGGAGAGGAGGAACAGGGAGCAGGGTTAAGCATGCATTGCTCTAGACTACTGGTTAGGCACTGCTACGCCCTCGGAGTGCACGCACGGGAGTTACTTTCCTCCCGTTGAGAGGTTGGACACGTTCGGTCCGTTGCGCTCTTTGTCCTCCTCCTTTGCCAACACCTTTTGGGCAACCGCTTGTTGCTCAGCCGTACAGACGCCCCCGTGAAGGAAATATGGAAATATCACCACCGTGGGCTTCAAAGCAATTGCCAGAACATTAGGGTTCGAACAGCCGGCATGGCCACAAGTCTTCTTACCCTCATCGAACCAAAGCATCTATGACATCACCTCCTAAACGACGAATGCCACAGATCTAGCCTGGCCAATACATGTACCCAAACCACGACCGTTCATCCAAAAATAGCAGCAACAACAACACCGACAAGACCAGAAACTCAACGAAACAAAACAAAAAATCACCCCCCTTTCCCCCGCCTCCCCAGCCCTATCTGCGTACTCCTTCCTCTCGCTCTGACCTGCTTGAAATTACACCGCACAAATCGCGAGTGAGTGCACCGGTACCCCGGCGGGAACATGAACGCCTCCGTGTGAAACCCGGGCCGAGGCGACACGATCCCGAAGCTGACGACCTCATAGGGTCCGTATCGAAAGGGTACGAGGGTCTTGCGCAGCAGCCTCTGGGCCTGGAGGGCGCGGGCGAGGACGAGCCGGAAGGGTACGAGGGACATAGGGAGGGAGGGAGGGAGGGAGGGAGGGAGGGAGGGGGTTCACGAAAACAATTGCGACGGAGATATGGGCACATCTCCCCTCCCCGGACATGGAGTACACAACCAAACGTTTGTCTACCATCGGAACGACGTCAAGCATGACACCCATGACCGATCTCGTCGTCCTTTTGGTACCGAACCGCCTTCTTCACAATGCTCTTGCTCTGTCGGAGATGTGTCGAGACAATCCTCTTACTTTCGCGTGCCGAGCAACCATCATCTGCCAACACCGTGAGGCGCCCTCAAAATGTCGTTCGCCTGGGCTCTTCGCCCGTACATGCAGTACATACCGCAACACCGACACCCCCACGACAGAGCAACCAAACCGACAACTAGAAACGACGATCGCAAAAACAGATCAACGAACACGTTTCCCGCCCCGCAAGAGAGCTATTCACCCACCTGCTTGATACACTTCTTCCGAGAGGCCTCCTCGGAGGGAGCTGCTACTACCCCTTGCCGTAGCTGCAGCTCCTGCTCCTCCTCCTCCTCGAGTAGCTCCTGCCGCTCTTGCGCTTGCTCGTCCTGCCGGCCCCCATTGCCGTACTTCGCCTCCCCTGCCGCCGCCGCCGCCGCCGCCGTCCCCTGCGGGTTCGATCCTCCCCTTGGACGCCGGGGCAGCACCAAGACCCCCGCCCCGGCGTTTCCGCCGCCACCGCCGCCGCCACCTTTGCTACCGCCCTTCATCGTCAACACTACGGAAGACGGCCCCCGCTGCCTCTCGCTCCAACCATCCCTAACACCCCAGGAAGAAGACGACTGCTGCTGCTGCTGCTGCTGCTGCTGCTGCTGCTGCTGCTGCTGCTGCTGGACCGCCGGCGCGGCCGGTGAATTGCTCCTGGGCCTGGCGATCTTGATGGTTGTCGGCTTCTTGCTGCTGCTGTTGTTGGGTGGCCCCGCTGCTGCTGCTGCCGCCGCCGCCGCAGCCGCGGTTGGAGACTGCGACGAGTCTCGCCCGGCAGCAGGCGGCGCGATCTTCGGCGTCCCCTTCGCGTTGAACGTGATCCGGATCTTAGGGAGCACCTGTTTGACGCCGCCAGTTGCCCCGCCACCCCCGCCGCCGCCGCCGCCGCCGCCGCCGCCGGTCGTGCCTGGTCCTGGATGCGGAGGCTTTCTTTTTTTCGACGGTGGGCGGACGGCGCCCGAAGCTGGTGAGCCCCAGTCCGCGTGCTGCGATGCTGGCGCCGGACTAGACGACGTCGAGCCACCGCTGGAACCGCCGCCCGCCCCGCCTCTGCTGTTCTTTAGTCTCACCTTCAACTTCTTGATCTGTGTGCGTCCATCCATCCAACAAACAAAATTCGACCAATTCGCGCGAAGGGCATATTCCATGGGCAGGTTGTAGGACCGATGGGAGCGGGGGGGCAGGGGGGAAGGGTAGGTTTGAGAGGTTGGTGTTGCCGCCAAATCACATGCACATGTAACCGAAGAGACGAACACGTCGTGTGATGCTCGGATCGTCCCCAAACCCTCGGAAAAACAAAGGCATCCACACACCGCAAAACCCGTACGACGCTCTACAAAGCAAAGCAACGGACGCTTCCTGTACATCACATCACCCCGAAACTTCCCCGAGCCATTTGGCTCAAACAAAGACCCACGAGGCGACTAACCTTGCCCTCCCCCTCGTTCCCTCGCCCCCCCGCCACCTCGTGGTCTGGCGGTTCTCCGGACTCCTCTTCATCCGCCAGCATGTCCGACATGTCCGACTGGGCGGCTAGCAACGGCGCGAGCTTGGCGTTGTACATGGCCTGTGATGGTACCGCAATCGAGAGAGAGAGACACACACACACCAGTGACGTCGGAGGCAAATCGTGGTAGGGGCAGCTGCAGCTGTAGCACAAAAGAATTAACAAAACTGCGAAAAATGTAAGGTGCCCCTTGGTGCCTCCCTTGGTGCCTCCATACGGCCCCACAACCCTTTTCCTCGTTGTCCTCGGCGATCTCCGTGAATGCTTGTGTCCAATCGCATGCAGCACGCAAAGGCCAAGACAGACTTTCTCCTAGCAGTTGTGCGCCGACGCTGACACCAGCGAACCAGTGCTCCAACAACTTACTTCAAAGGCCCCGCCGCAGCTCTCTCCCCAAGCTCTCGCCCAATCACCGGGAGGGTTATAAGCGAGACAGTTAGCGAAGACGAGCCGGACCTGGGCAGCAAAGCCCAGAATATCGCCAGCGAACCTGTTTCGGTGTAGCCGTACGGAAATAACGAATTGTCTGGGTCCTCGCTTGAGAGAGCAAGTGAAAGAGCGAAGGCGAGCAGGAGGGAGGGGGCCCAGGAGCGGACTAGGGGCGAGGGGGGGCAGGCGGATAGCTGCCACCTGACTGCTTGACGCAACAGCTTGGCGCTCAGCCTTTCTTCCCTCGTTCTCTCTAGACCTTCCTCCCCCGTTCAAAACCACCCGTCCAAAACGCCGTGGGTGCATTGAAACGTGATGGGTGCATTGTCAAACCGTCAACCGCCAAGCGACTAGGCTCTCCCACCCCCTCTCCGGTCTCCCAACCCCTTCGCCTTTACCCCCATCCCTCACCCGCCCGTCCGCAGCTTCCTATTGATCGTCCCGAGGTCCATGGGCGTCTGCACGTACTTCTCGTAGCCGGGAGCGGTGCGGGGATCGACGGGGGCGAGGAAGAGGCCGGCGTGCTTGTGCTTCATGAGGGAAGACATGACGTCCGCCATCCTGGCCTCCGCACGAGCCCGATTTCGCTCCTGGGGGTTACGGTTGCCGTGACGCACGCGCGTGAGCGTGAGCGAGGCCGTTACAGCGGAGAGGGGGGCGGAGAACGGGAATCGCCCGATGGCTACTGGAAGGGCGTCACACGTTTGCAGTTCTCGTAGACTGGGTGGCGCAACCCGTTGCAACATCTGTTGTGTGGTCGATTGAAAATAAGAGGGGTGGATTATCGCTGTACAAAGCAGCAACGCATCACCGTGTTTACTGCGGCTGCCACCCAACATGCCGCCCACGGAGACCCAACAGCGGCAAAATCGAAGCAGAGCGTACGGTCCAGGCCCACCCAAATACAACTCCGCCGCCGACTCTCCTGTGTTAAAACACGGTGTCTGTTTTAACGTTTGGCTGTGCACTGCGCCGCACTCGACTGCAGACGATTGCCGTAAACGCTGCACTACTGCTGTTGTATGGTACTCTTTGCTTGTTGTACAACGAAACACGAGCGCGGTGAGGATACGAGGAGGTAGGGGACGAAACACCCGCACCTTGGTAAACACGTTTACCAAGCCCGCTTGCACCTTCTATTGACCCTCTGCCTTACAAAAAAATAGCCCTGCCCCCCACTCCAGGAACGGGTACACCGCACGAGAGACTCCTTGGTAACTATCTGTTCGGTATTGGATCACATGCAGTCGGAATCCAGAGGCTGTACCCTTCCGGCCTGTCTCCTACTACTGTACGCCGCCTGCCTTTTAGGGGAGCCTGTTGGTTGTTGCGAGCGAGCTCGTTTTCATCCCAGCAACAACTTCCGTCTTTCCATTGGCCAGTCGGCGAACGCGGTCGATTTCCAATCGAAGCAAACGTATAGAACACGCGGCCACTCTGTCGGGGAACTCCGCGGACCAGGCGATGTGGTGTGTCCGCATTTCGTGTCCCCCTCGAGAAAGAGACTTATTTCTGTCTTTCATTCGCTCGCGATCTGTACCAACTACGAGTAAGAGCACACACAACATATGTGTACATCCTGCTGAAGACCGGCGTCTTTTCGTTGGTCAGCCGGCTAAATATCGCGGTCGATGCTATGCATAGTTCAAAACACACACACACACACACACACACACACACACGCTGCCAAAAAGTTGCTGCCAAAATGACGATGAGAATAGTGATGGTAGTAGTGGTAAATGCAACAAGAATGATAGAGAGAGCACTCCTAAACGAAGTCGAGTGCAGGGTGACAGTCTTAGTAGACACGTGCAGTTTTCTTCTATTATTACTACGGTATCTGTCTTTAATCCTGAGAATAGCGTAGCTCCCCCTACGACGCTCGGTCCCGGGGTCCCAGATAGTGGACTATAGAAACATTTTGTGTTTCCCACCGCACCGAGACTGACGTCTTTTCATTGGTCAGCCGGTTAGCGCGGTCGATGCTAATAACAAAAACACACACACACACATGCGCGTGCGCGCGCGACACGCTGCGCCCACCCACCTCTGGATCTGCTGCCGCCGCGCGCCGTGGCCGCTTCAGCGAGTCATCACTACCACCACCGCCGCCACCATATCCACCAAACCCATCACCATACGGGCGTTTCGAAGCCATGCTCCAGCCTCCCGTCCCAGCTGGGAGGAGAAGGGGCTGAGCAGCAGGGGTAACGAAAGAGAGGGGTGAATTGATTGCATCAGTGGGGACGTGCTGTGAAAAAAAAATGCACAACGCTCCGAGGGTGACAATAGCGGGCCGTAGAGCATCGCCGCCTGGTGCTATCTAGAGGTGGTACATCATTTTCGTGTTGATGCGAGCGTCCTGAGTCAAGCTTGTTTCGATTCCAAACGAGAAAGAGGACGAGTGGGGGCTGGGCACACAAGTGAGTGTGATCGGGGGTTGACTGAACGCCCTATGCATAGACTGGTGTGTATAAGAAGGTCGACAGCATTTGTATTCTGATCACGTTGTGTTTCTGACTTATCTTTGCAAATAAGAAGGGGATGGCACGGCAGTACTTGGTGTTGGTGTTGGTGTTGGTGTTGGTGTACATGATGACTCACCTTCGGCAACCAGTCATGTGTGCCAGTGGAAAGCGCCTGTTAATTATTTTTGTGGTGCACTTGGCTGCTGTGTCTGTTGAACCAACCCCTACGGCGTTTGAGAACAAAGGAACACACCGCAGGAATTCTTCTGTGCCGCCCAGGACCGGGGCTCTTCACTTAAGGAGGCAATTCATGGCGGTACGTAGGTGGAACAAAGTGCGAGCGACGGTCAACACACCGGAGGAGCCAACAGCAGTAGGTGCCGAGTCCAACCCCGCTGTACTGCAGTAGACTGTAGACAGGAGGCACTCCGGCAAAACACTTCGTCCCTGTAGGTATCCTGCTGCAGCCTGTCTACTTTCTGTGCCTCGCGGCCTTCAGATAAAATTGCCCTGGTTCAACTGTAAGCGTGGCTACCACTGATGCTGCCTGTTTCCGAACAAAGCACAAGCTCTCACTACACTTCCACGGGCGAAGTCAAGTTGACGCAAGCAGCTGCTGTTGCTGACTTGCACAGCAGGTCGCTGGTGCGGCCTCTCAGTCGGTGTTCGAACGTACCAATTGGACCAATTCAAAAGTTCGCCTCTATTTCCAAGACAAAATACGGGCGTGTGCGAGTGGAAACACCACAACTCTCTAGGGACACCTACCCCAACTAACACCAACCCCAGGCTTCGAAATGCCCTGCTACCCTACGGCTTGTCCCGCTGGTGGCGATCTAGCAAGCGATGCACCAAACCGCTTGTGTGCTTGTTGAGCAACCCGGTTTTTTTCTCCGTGCTTGGCACTATTCGGTCTGTATGGCAAAGAAGCGCGGTTCATTTGGGTCCTTCACGAAAATCCTACGCGTCAATCCGCGGAGCGAGACCACGTCCTTCGCCAAGGGAGAGGTGCACTCACCAATGATCCACCCTGTTCGTCCAAAAGGATCGCCCGCGAGAGAGGATTTCCGGGCCGGCTGAAAAATGAGCTAGGGAGGGGACGTTTTGGAGCATATCCCGCCAAAGAAGTGCACCTCGATCATATGAGTTGCAAAACACGTAAGGTCGAAAACCCGCACGGGCAAACCCCCCGCCCGTACCATGTTTTCCACCTACCATTCCATCCACCGTCCCCCTATCTTTGGCGTTGGCTGCCTGTGCTCGCTGTGTCGCACTCTGCTCCCTGCTCCACACACCGCTCTCTCCGTTCTCCTCTCTCGCCGTTTAGCATCTCGTGACAGGTGTGTCGGGTATTATGCGTGCATTGGGGTGCTGCCTTCGCTCTTCACACACCGTACCGTAATCTTTGGGGCGGGTGCCAACGAGAAAAAACATGTGCAAACACCAGCAGAATGGCAACGACCAACGATGACAACTACAGCTGCGTGGCTCGTGATCGTCCCCTGCGGAGCGCGAGAGTAATCGTCGAGTTCGGCAGAGGTCGTTGTTGTCCAGAATCCAGGATCGCCATGAGCTCCGGGCCCTTTGCTTGCGAAAGGCACGCTCGTTGGTATGCGCGACGACAACAATTTTTTGTGTGCGGTGTATCTCGCCGAGAGCACCAACGACCAAACGCACACCTTTCCGCACGATCGCCCTCGGATGTTGCGGGCAAGGACCACAGCACGTGATCTGCGAATCTAGCAGGACACTGTCACGTGGCAGTTGAGACGATGGTCCTTTTGCCCGAGGCGGGGATAATCTTACCTACAATTGAGTTTCTTTCCTGCGTCGGTCAGCCTGCCAGAAGAGGCGGCTGATCCATCGCGGGGCGTGTCAGGATCCGCCGAGCGGTCGCTTACAGCTGTAGTTTCGGCAGAGAGGGCCTGTCGCACACAGGATCCCGCTCACGGAAAGCGTGGTGTCTACTTTTTCGATGCTCGAAAGTTATCGAAGAGAGTCGTGACTATTGAAGTAGGAAACCACGGGTGTCTACTCTCGCATGCTCAAAAGCTACCAAACAGAGCCGCGACATAGGCGCTCTTCTGTCTGCTGCCTGTAGTTTTCGAGCGTCGCAAGGTAAAGACACCATGCTTTCCATGCCAGCGATTCTGTTTGCGACAGAGAGGGCCAGATGAACAAAGAGGGAGAGAGAGAGTTTTTAATTGGGAATTCATTTCGATGAGGATACGTGGACCTATTGAAACGACGCTCGCTCTCGGCAACCAGGATCAGCAGGCAACCAGGCTCAGCAGCATCTTTGAACCTGCGTTCGTCCTCACACAAGACATACGCGCTGCGCACACACTGCGACCAACCCCGCCCCCACTTTGAACAACGAAAAAAGGAATTCCGAGGGAGTTGGTGGGCGGTGTCCAGAACGAAGGCATATCTCGCAGCAGCATAGTCTACGCGTTGGCTGGGTTGCTTTACTTTTCTTTGCCAAAGAAGTTCTCGCGAAGAGTGCTCGCGGTGCAGTTTTCTGCACATGCTGCCCACACGTTGGCAGGACTTGAAGTTCACAAATACAGTCATGGATCAATACGAGGAGGAGGCATGGAGTAACATATTTTACCGTGTGCATACGTACGTGACAAACACCCGACAAACCAACTTACCCAAGACCTTCTTTCTTCACCTTCCCAGCATATCATACGGTCGCCCCGGTGGTCCAGTGGGTAGCCTCGAAGCCTGCTAAGGGCCAGGTCATGGGTTCGAGTCCCGACAGCGTGATTTTTTTCTCAAATCCTAGTCTCCTTTGGAAGCGACACGCTGCAAAGCTCGTTGTTAGTAAACATGACCGACTTCATAAGTCGCGAAGGAAGGGATCGCTGTACCCTTCTCGCGATAAAAATATCTGTGGCAGGAACCGCAGGAGGGGGTCCAACCCCCGCCTCCTATGTGACCCCGGTTGCCTCGTCTAGCTGGTAAAAGTGGAGGATAGGGACCAGAGGGGCAGACGACAGAGTCCAATGATGGGAGAAAAACAACAAACAACAACAACGACACAGAGAGATGCGCAAGACGGCTACCAGACTGTCGTGTTGAGCCTGTTTCCCACAGGGGAGATATCGCTGTGTGCTGCATGTGAAATCGTAGCAATATAGATAGCTTCCGCTGACGCTATGAAGTCATTGCTAATCCATCCTAGACTCTTTTCTTTGAAAGTAGATGGATTCGTTGTGTAATATTCAGAAGAAAAAAGAACATGTCACTACATACGCACATACGTATGCGTT